AGGGTGGGGGTTTTGGCTTTCTATTCTGAAAACACAGTCAGGTGTCATCACGTATCCATGGCTTTCTATTACTCCTCTTTAATCCTGCACTATTATTAGACGACTCCAAGACAGTGGTCTTTATTTTGTTCCATTTGTCTTCAAAGCACTGCTCTCTCTATCTCTCTCTCTCTCTCTCTCTCTCTCTCTCTCTCTCTCTCTCTCTCTCTCTCTCTCTCTCTCTCCTCTTAAAGCACCTTAAACCTGTTTTTGTTTTCAAACTGGACTCATGTTGGCATAAAGCAATGAGGACGTTATGCAAGATGGCTACCATTATCGTTTACCACAACACATTGATTCCGTAAATTTGTGTGTGTGTGTGTGTGTGTGTGTGTGTGTGTACTAACATGAAGTGATTTTCTTATATTAGTTGTTTGCAATATTCTCGCCAATGCTGCGGAGCTACGTACATTGCACTGAGGTCCTCCTGCTTGAGCATCAAGAGTCCTGTGTTAACACACGTAAAAAGTTGGGCCGTATAGAAACAGTGCGTCAACGGGTGATTTTGCATAACGGGATACACCGTAAAGAGAAATGGTTAACCATTCCAAATGAATAAAAGCAGTACTTTGTGGCTGCAGTCCTGTGATTTGGCGCGAACAACAGTTGATGCAGAAGTGAAAGCATTGGCGGAGGAAAATCACATATACCGAAGATGCTGTTATGTGTGTGTATATATATATATATATATATATATTTCGAATATCGTATCACTGGTTATATGTATATATATATAAACACACTATCAATTGCTATACAGAGACTAAAACAACTGAATAAATTATGGAGAGCAGAGAGAATTACAGAGTCAGATTTTTAAGAGCAGCATCTTTCCCATTATTCTGTCTGACTTACTAAACAAGCGGAACAGCGCATAAAGGCATTCAATAAAATGTTACAGAAAGGAAATATCTTGGTAAAAAAAGACGACTTCAAGAGCCTTTGTTGGCTATAAAGACAATAAAACAAAGAAAATTGAAATATTTGGTCACTTGAAACGTCATGGAAGCAGCAATAATGGAGGGGTATATGCCTGGAAGAGAGGAGAGGAAGGCCAGAGGAGAAGATGGGTGCATGATGTGGCATATGACAAAACGCAGGACATCTTGCTCAGGATAGGAAGGTTTTCCGGAGGGTTGTTATGGAGCGAGGTTTCCGCGAGGGAAATGCTACTGAATGAATGAAAAATACATATATATATATATATATAATATATATAATATATATATATATATATATATATTATATATATATATATATAGATATATCTCAGCGACTCAATGAGCAGAGAAACAGGAGATCAGGGCGAGAGAGATATTCGTCTGAAACAAAGTAGCGCTATCATGATAAAGCTAAAGGAAAAGTCAATAAAAAAGACGGTGAAGCCTTTGTTTATGCTACCAGCAACTGACAATGGAGATCATGAATAGGACAAAACTCACGAATTCAGCAGCACGCTTTCTCACTCAATGATGAACAGGAGCAAGCGGACATATACGCGAAACAGTATATATGAAAGCACGTTTCGCGCAATCACCTTTTTTTCCAGGTGGGAAAGGCTATGAGAGAGCAGACGCCCTGGATGGCAGTGCGACTATTATGAATGGGCTAACTATAGACAAGAGAGACATCATCAAATAGCCTAGGGGGTACTAAACGCTGTGGGTCTTTCAGTTGCTTTAAAAATGATTTTCCAGTGAAAAGACTGCGCACATGGGTGTACCAATTGGAGCAGTGAGACAGGAAAAATATACTGGAACACCCCGTTGTCACCTTAACTAGAGAGAGATTTAGAGTTGCAATCCTAAAAACACTAAGAGGCTTATTTAGGAGGATATTAGATCACTTATAGTAATGTCCGATTTGAGATGAAGATGATCTATAAATGAACACTGAACAATGAACAGTAGGTCACTTGTTGAACATTTTCGTTACAAGGTCTTCGGACATTTTCGTTACAATGTATTTGTGGCTGTTATTATCTGTTGTGTTTGGTTTTTTTAAACAGCTCTTTCAGTTTCAGTTTAAATTGCCCTACACATTGGTAGTGATCAGTTCCATCATTTGCTCCCCTGTGTGCTCAGATATCCCATTGTAAGAGGTTCTGAATATTATGTTGATACATAGGCAGCAAATCGGGTTCTTGGTCATCCCCCGTGTCCCCCCTTTCCCACCACATATGGTGTTCCAAGTTAATTTAGGAATTTCCCTGTGTGCAAAACTGGTGCATCTAATTACTAGGCTTCACTGCAAGCATCTTCTTCTTCTTCTGATGTCGTCCCACTGATACCTGGTGTCATTTTTATTTGTAAAAATTTTTTTTGATGCCAAGTTTCGATTCCCGGCATAGTAACTGTATCTTGAACTCAAAAAACAACCATCTCTGTAACAGCTATACTCAACTGAGATTTCATCTAGATAAATTAAATAATCCTGAAGCTGCATAGATTTTCTGAACAACTATAGGAGGCAAATTTGCAGTTTAAAAGCTCCTAGAAGAAGACGTGAATTTATTGCCACAAAGCGCGAATGAGGAACTCGTGGATGCAGCAGTTGAAATCCTAGGTAAAAAGAAGATGCCTCGTAAACCATGGATAACAGCTGTCATCTTAAAATGATGTAATTTGCGACGAGAAATTAAAAAGAAGAAACGCAACTCCAGCAGCAGAAGAACAATACAGGATAATAGAAAAATAAGGACACAATTGAACGATTACAGTAGAAGAATGGATTAAAAACCAGTTTGAGTCCATTGAAGTAGGTCCAAAACAGGGCAACACGAAGGCAGCGTACGAGACAATAAAATGACTAATCAAACATAAACACCTAAAATACCGGTTGTAGAGGATAAGAACAGATACATCCTTAAAGAGAAAACAGATATATTGGAGTGGTGGAGGGAATGTTGTAAAGACTGATGTCACCAAAAAGCAGAGCCTGAAACTCCAGTCCCAGTCACCATAGTATGGGAAAACAGAGAAGTTGGCGATCTGAAATATTATTAAGAGAAGAAGTTGAAGAGGAGATACTCTCACTTAAAGAAGGTAAATCGTCAGGCGTCGTCAATTTCCCAGTTGAGCAAAGACGTGGCCTACTGAATGGACACAATCGTTGTTGACACTACTGGCGAAGAAATTATATCTGAAAAGATGCAACAACTATAGAACAATTGGTCTTATCACCCACGCAAGCAAAATAATGCTAAAGATAAGGCTTAACAGACTTATAGCAAAATCAGAAAAAAAAAATACTAGGCGAAGAGCAGGCAGATTTCCTGAAAAACAGAAGCACCAAAGAAGAAATTGTCAGCATTAGAAACAATCATAGAAAAACACCTACAACATCAACCTATACCATAACTTCATTGTTCTCACGAAGGCATTTGACCTTGTGTCGTATGCTGAGCTCTGGCTCATAATAAGACATTTCAACTTCGATAAGAACATTATAGACACAAATAAAGCACTTTATAAAGATGTAGGTAGTGTAGTAATCATTCAAAATGGCATACGAATATTTTGCAAGACTAGTGTGGGAGTGAGACAAGGTTGCATATTATCCCCTGTCCATTAAAATTTTTAATTTGAAAACATAATGAGAGAAACATTAGAAAATCATAAAACATCTATATCTATAGGCGAAGACAACTGTGTAATTTACGTTTTGCAGACGACATAGATCTCATGGCTGGTTCCAAAGCAGAACTCCAAGAACTTAATACAAAATTAGAGACAGTCTGAGGTAAGTATGGCACTTAAATTAATGCCAAGAAAGGCAAGATTCTGATAAAAAGTGGCATAACCTAGTAGCTACCAACATACAGATACAAGGGAAAAGAAAACTAGAAGAAGTTGTAACCTTTAAATATCTTGGCTAACGCATATGCAACGATGGCAACTGTCCCATAGTAAACAAGACAAAACTTGATATGGCAACAGCTGCGGTGTCGCAGCTAAAAACGATGTGGAAATGCAAAATCAGCATCGCAGTCAAGGTCAATATTCACAAATCACTTGTGTTGCTTATTTTCTTATATGGGTGTGAGAGTTAGACGCTCACTGTGGAAATGGAAAGGTGGATTCAGGCTTTTGAATGTAAATGATACAGACGCAGTTTACGAATTAGTTATTTAGAACGCAAAAATAATAAATATGTCAGAGGCAAAATATATACACATTTGCGGGTCATCAGGACCCTCTCCTAGCAGTGGTGAAACGTCACAAGCTAGCTTGGTTTGTTCACGTGGTGGTGAAACATGATTCGATTGCAAAGACTGTATACTTCAAGGAACATTCGGGTGGGAGAGGGAGGGGGGGGGGGGGTTGTCGAAGAAGAGGAGGGCAAAGAAGAACTTGGAGTGAAAACATCAAGGAATTTACAGGGCTATGTTATTATACATTTATTAATCAAGCAGAAGACAGAGAAATATGGCAATTTTTCTGTTCTAGTGCTTCCATCAAAACACCACCACCACCCTAATGGGTCAGGGTTTAATATCTGACCTGGTTGGTGCCCGTCTCCTTTCAGACGAGCCATTATCCTGTTAGCCTGCAACCTTCTGTTTTCAGGTGCGTACCACGAGGAGGTGTGATTGACATTTGTTCTCTATGTGTCGCTGGCAGGCTAATAAAATTGAACATTTCATATCTCCGAAGAGAAGCTAGGGAACCTCAACCCTACAGTGCAATAGCGCAGGAGTACACACACACACACGCCAATGCATAAATCTGATAATATTTCTCCATTTTCATTCATTGTGTTGACTTTTTAGTTTTCCACAGGATGCATACGACATAAAGTACAACTAAGAGGAATATATCGTATAATGTCCGTTGCGAATTACATGGCTTAACATTAGTCAATTATATAGATCGGTGAGGCAAGCCGTGATAGTGTGTGGTATGTTTTACTTATTATTACTGCTGTCCTGTTGTATCGTTTCTTTCAAACGATATGTCTTTATGTGTCCAGGTCTTTCAGTCTCTGATTTGTGCGGCCTTATAATGATGTCTGGAGCGTGCATCTGTTTAACCCCCGCTGTCGTTGACTCAGATTTACCATTCGAGAGCCTTGACGTCCTTTACCTGGTATTTGCGATGCCACGCTTTGCTTTCAGCCGTGTCAGCAGCTGCATCACCGCCATGATTACCCTAGAAAGATGCTTGAGTATTGTGGCACCTTTAAAGGTGATTGTTAAAATGCATATTCAGTAAAAATAGAGCTCATTTTTACGCATTGAGGTGTATATGTAAATGGTACTATAACACATGTTTTACAATATCACATGAAGTTAGTGGTCAGTATATGATATAATCCTGAGATATTTAACGAGTATATTTAAGTGTTTATGGCCAAAAGTTGAGGTCATTTACTAAAACTGTTACGAAGATTCAAAACACATTATTCGATTCAGAAAACGCGTAGAAATAAAATTAGACTAGAAAATTAGACTGTCGACTTATATATATGGAGGATGTAACGTCTAAAAGTAATTCCAGTAGGTTGGTATGTAAGAACAAGCTGTCTAATCACGTCAGGAGGTACAGAAGCTGTACGGTGTCATTTTAGAAAAAAAAAAAAAGCGTGAAGTGTGTATATATATGCAAATCTTACATAACAACTCATGTACTCAAAATATAATCCTATTTGCAAAAAAAAAAAATATTTAGTTATGTGACACATTTTCCAGTAATTAATTGTTATTTGCAGTTGACTGCAAAAATTCTTTTTTTTAATCACGATTGATTCGACATTTTAAATAATTGCAACTTTAAATGTTATGTCTCCGTAGGTAAAAAGCATTATCACCCCGAACAAAGCAGCGATCAGTGTCATCTCTATCTTCACCATCTTCACACTCAGCACCACGCCATTTTATATTGTAAACAGTCTGGGTCCTATTTTTCAGCCTCAAGAAACAGAACCATCGTTGGACTTACCTTCACGGACGACAAAGAGGTGGTTGAGATTATCACTATTACTATTAATAACTTTTTAATTCCATTTTGTACTTTTGTAATCGTTGCTGTCTGCACTGTCATTCTGACCTCCCAGTTACGCGATAGTTCTGAATGGAGAAATACGATAAGTGACGTTCAAGCACAGAAAATATCTAGTCGTAACAAGAAGGTCGCAACAATGGTAGTCGCCATCTCTACACTGTATATTTCCTGTTTTGTACCAATTGCAATTATGATGTTGGCAATCGGCGTTGTGCCTGACCTGTCCATTAACGGAAAGTACTTCAATGCCACAAAAGTACTAGGCGGATGCACTCTTATATTAGAAAGCGTCAACTCTTCGGTAAATATTTTCATTTACCATCATATGAGTACAAAATATAGAGATACGTTTCAGTCTATGTTCATCAGAAAA